GAATAAACCACAGTTGAATTTGTTCAGAATGAAAATTAAACCAGTTGGATTTATGAGTAGTTGCACCTCCTGTAAATACAAGTGGAGACAGATCCTGTCAGTCATGTAGGGGAAGTTTGCAACAATCCAAAGAACGCTAGTTTTTTTTGCTAAATACTATATTTCGATGTTGAGTTTTTTAGTGTTGACAACCAAAATCTTGTTATCTTATGTAGTCAGAACATATGTTTACACTACAGCACTTGTTTTAAGCCCTGTTTACATTGGAATTGTAATGTAACAAAATTAAACTTTTTGGCAACAATTGTCGCTCCTGTCCCCCGTATTGTTAAACCCTTACTAAAGTGAACAAATCCTTCTAATTTGTAGTTTGCATACTGCACAAAGCAACTTTTAATTGAAATGTGTCATAATATTCAACCATGCATCAACATCAAGTGAGTTAATAAAAGTGTAGGCTAGATTAGGATCAATTAAGGAAGCAAAATGGTAGGAAGAGTAGTAGAAAACTGTAAGCATTTTTTATAAAAGTTTACCAAGTGAAATAATATGGGGGAGCGAGCTGGTCTAGTAGTTAGAGCGTGGGACTTTGGCCCCTGAGGTCCTGGGTTCAAATCCCGCCAAATCACCAATGGATTTTATCTAAGTGATAATGCCGCAACCCCTAGGTCTAGCTTGAAGTAGTGTGAAAAACAATCCAGGGTTCGTGCCTAGCGTCTTGAAAAAAAAAGGGAAAAAGTGTAAAGTGCAATAAATACTCATGATAATCACTATAGGATTTAGTGTGTTGTTTAGAATGAAGCAACAATATTATTATCATAAATCTACAATGTAAATAAAAACATTATTCATTTCCTTCCTAAGAAGCAGTGTGTAATCATGTGAAGTAACTCTTTATTACACCATTCAATTGATCAAGTTTGTAAATCTAAGTCAAGTCTATGGAGATACATAAAACTTGCACATGTCGACAAGATTCATAAAACTCTTAGCGTTATTATTTTTAGAGTGTAACTACTACCCTAAATACCATTTTTCAACACAAATTTAATGCAAATTAGCTGATAAAAGAAGGTGTTAAAATGCTACATAAAAAACTCCAAGTGTTTTAGCAAGAAAATCGCAAATAAAAAATACATTACCATTTTCTCAAAATCAGCCTGTAGTTAATGTATTTTAACACCTTTAATTTTTTTATTTTTCTGTGCATACAATTATAAAATTTACCATACTATCTTTTCAATAAAAAAAATGGAAATTTGTCCGCTTTTGCTACTAATGCAGTTCAAAATTGGCTGCTGTTGCCGATGCTATTCAAAGTTGTGTACTACAATAATCAAAATCTCACCTGATATGTTCCAACCAGAAGAAGAACTGATGTGCCCATTTGTACCAACAATGCAACCAGTTCCAGCACTAACATCCACTCTATATAACCTGGGGACAGAGGGTTTAGACAAATTTTAATTGAGTAACAATTATTAAGTATTACAATTGATAATTACAACTTACGTCAATCAATCCAGTTATATTTTTGGAGGACGCACTCTTACTTAAAAAAAGACCCTCTTAATAATAGAATATGATATACAGTAATACGTACTGTGATGTTTCGCCTCATACACCAACTCCGCGAATGAAAAGAAACTTGCCACAAGACAACCCACCTGAAACATTTTATCAAAATTAGTTTGAACAATTATTTTAAAATGTTTTATCAACACTTTAAGCTAATTAGGTTCCAGATCCTAATTTTACACACAAAATGGTCTAATTTATTTGTGTTTTCTGTGCCATTGGTATTTTTATGTTTTTATAAGGGAATGGTCCAAACACTGGTCTTGTTACCATCTAATGTCCATCTTTTGTTAGATAGCATTATTTATTTGTGGCCCAATCACAAATGGCATCTGTCCAGTCTTATGTTTGTTGAATTGGATATTAATGGTAGGTATTTTTTGAATCAGCTACAGAGTTTTAGTGTTACTGTTGTAGCTTTTGGTTTGATTGAAATCATAGCTTTCTGAAATGATATTGTTTTGAAGTAAAACTACATTATGTTAAAAGCTAATTTAGATCCAACCTACTCAACTAGAAACTTACAAGATTTCTAAGTTGATAATATACTAACCAAAGATATAAATCCAAATAGTTTGGCTCCAGTCCTTAAAGGTATAAAAAAGCAGCAGGAATGAACTTCAAAATTGTCAATCCGCATCTTACCTCTAGGTTTTTATCTGAAAAAATAAATATTTAAGATTAAAATTTTGTTAAACTTTTAAAATAATATGCTTTAAATAAGTTCACTTAATTTCTACAGTTAAACCAATCTTAGTTCAAAAAGTGCCACATTTTTTAAGCAAAATTTTATACTGTTAAGTTTTTTATGTTTATCTTGGAAGAGGCGCTTTAAAAAAGGTAATCTGCCTAGGGTGCTATGATTTTGCTAGTTTTTACTGTTTGTAAACGTTTGTTTGGACCATACACGTTGAAAAACATATTGGATCATTTGGCAATAGTTTATCATCTTGTTCAAGTCCTTTGGGAAAACTTTCTGATGTTTATTAATTTTCCTACCATCAACGCCAGAGATATTTTTTTGGAAGGTTTTTTAACTCTATTAAGTTTGTCAATCAGAAATGGACAATTGTTAAATTGTTATCTCTTTATAATGCATCATATCAACAAATTTACATAAAATCAAATCAAAATATAACTTCATTCTTCATTAAAACGTAAACATGCATAGTTCAGAGCCTTCCAGAGTTTTTTAATATAGTAAAATTTACAAGGTATTACAAAGTAATAACTAAAAATATTTAAAAAGTGATATAAGAACACAACAAGATTTTTTGAGTTGGTATGAAGTCCTCAGGTAGGCTTAGATTTTTGAATGAGTACGGTACAAGGCTTTGTCTATCAAATAATTGTTCAAGTTGCATTTGAATGAGTTTTAATTTGGTTCTCTTATAATTTCATTTGGCAACTTAAAAAAAAAATATTTTTCTATAAATAGTTTTGTTTTTGTAACACTGTAAATTATGTTAGTCAAAAATGACTATTTCGAGTGATATAATAGTTATTCGTCTAAACCAAAATATCATTATCATGCTCTTTGACATATTAAATTGTATCTTACAGTTACAATTTTATATACAAACGTCTATCGGAGTCTGATTGTGCAAGGCCCGTCATGGTACTTTTATTATTTAAACCTAATTTTCAACATTAAAATATCCTACAATCAATTTCCTTTATATCCTCCCTTCTTTTGCAAATCATTCAATGACATGATGATTCAGTAATAAAAATATGCAACTTAATCATTTTACTAGGCATACCTTTTTATAAGAAAATCAATTACATCCAGATCCACGCTAATCGAGAAAATTGTGCACAGTTTCATAAACAATCATTCAACACACAACACATTGATGTAGACTTCGCTGGGAGACTGTGGGCGACTGACCCATATGTATCTTCTGCTCAGTAGATAATGAGTGATAAGTGATCACACTGCCAGACCTCTCCCAAGAGCGTCATCACAATCTGCACCCATGAAAATGTAACAAAATATTGAGTGCAATGTTACAATTTTTTTAGAAATATAAATGGTCATTTTGTGTATTGTTGGTTTCTGATGCGAAATTATGTCGAAACAACATAATAAGTCTGTAAGTCTGTATCTTGACACAGTGTACCAGACTTTGTAGTGGTGTATTTCATTTAAAAATATAAATACATTTTAATCTTAATGTTTTTTTGTGGTGTACGCCACTTGAACATTTCATATGACTTTTTAATCCATTGACATTTTTTACATTTTTGTAGGAAACTGCCCAAACCCTGGTCTGATAAGTATCTAATTTTGACCCTTCGTTGGTGGCAAAAGGGTTTTTGGTTCCACTAAGGATGGAATCACTCAGTGCCTTGCCTTCAGGTTTTAATGTGAGAAAATTAACCATGTCCCTGCACAGACCGAATTTGGCTTAAGAATTTTGAATTATTATTTTATTAGCTAGTTTCCAATTAGAGAACAAGCTACCACTATTATCTTAGGTCGCACGATAAGATCTCGATTTACTTTTTTAATTCTGTCCCCAGAGGCCAGAAACAAATTTTCATATATGTGTGTCTGAAAACATGAACACTCAATTTTGGTCCCATTTTGATTTAGTTTAGCATGAATGTGTCAGACGGGATAACCTCGAATGAGTTTGTGAACCAGCAAGTTTAGGAAAATGGGAAGAGAATGCTTTGGAATTTTTCAAATTTTTCAAAAAGTGGTTTTTTTCACATTTTTACCCCATAATGCCAAATTTCCATTACAGCCATCATGTAGGGCTTAAAAACAAATAGTTTAACAGCCAGTTTTAAGTGTCAAATTAATTAATTGGCATTGCAATGAACATTTTTTTTCATCAAATTTCTTTTAACCCTTCAACAAATCGCATAACATTCAAACTCTTAACAAAATTAAGAGGTTCTCAAAACTGGTGTTTTATCCTATACTCTTATATGAGCAATGTTTGCTTGTATGTATGTAAGTTATGCCTGTATGCTTGCTTGCACAAATATCTCGAAAACGGCTTTGACTATTTCCTTTAAATGTTGTAAATAATTAATTTCTTTCCAAAAATTTGCTGTAATGCAGTTAAAACTGTCAATAAAAATCTAATCACGTAAAAATTAAATTGAAAGTCAACATTTTTTAATGTTATGGCCTTATGTTGCCAAATAACCAAGTTAGTTGAACAATATAGCAAGGAAAAAGTAAATAAAAGACTTGTAACATGTGTTTATAACAAGCCATTCACAGTATACTAGCAAATTACAAAATACAGTACAAAGGGGAAAATATCAGTTGTTACTATTGAGCAAAGATTACACTGAAGATTACTCATATAGGGGCACAATGGAAATATACTACCGTTTACCAAACCATGGCTCGGTCCCCAGGTCATTATATGAATAAACTGAGAAAAAAAATCAAAACAACCACAGGAAGACCCTATTTATTTAACTTGTGAACATACAGAAACACCCAAAAGACACTCTAAGGACAAGGTTTTTGCTCCTCGCATTTAGCGTTTAGGTTGGGGCAGTCCTTGGTGGTGTCGCAAGGAAATGTCCCTTGTTCTCTCTGCTCGTCCCATTTCTCGATCCAAGCGTTGGGACAGATTGAGTTGTAGCAGCGGTAGAAGTAGTTACACTGTTTAGCATTCTCACCCAACAGGTGTCTACAGGACTGGTAGTCCACGTACATCCGGTAACACCACTTGGTCCTATTGGTCTGTTGGAATCTAGAAAATTGTTGTAGGTGTTATATTGTTGCAAATGTAACTTCAGTTTAGTTTCTAATGCAGTAAACCTGTTCTCATTTAGGTAAGTTAACAAACAGTGAAAAATGATACTTTAATACTTTTTTGAAATGGCGACCATACAAAGTAGGTATTTTAAGCCAAGTATGAATGGAGATCGAGTGTGGGATGAGCGGCGCGATCTTGTAGTCTTTAGTGACTATTTATTTATTTGTTAGGTAACAATTTATTTTAAAGTAAATCAATTTGAAATTATCTTCAAAATGAACACACACAGATGGACAGTCTTTGTGGGAATTATATCCTTGTACTTTTGTTCTAAAGCCACTGTGTATGTATCTGTGTTTGCCATTTTTTGGAAAATAAATTATCTTATAAGATCTAACAACAAGTTTATAGTCCCTAATAAATGTAATGAAAACATTTGTTTTTAATTTCAATTGTTGTTCTTATTTGTTGCACAACAATAAAAGTGTATATTCTTATGTGTGTCGTTAAAATTTTAAGAAAGTAATCTTTAATGTTACGTATTTGTAATTAATTAATAGGTACCGGTACTGAATATTCTATAATTATTCAAACCTGTCCAAAATGTTTAAACACTCTTGGTTGTCAAACCTTTGACCTTAATGTAGGTACTTCTGAAACACTATAAACTTTGGTTTGTTATCTCCAAATATATGCAATAAATTCACTCTAACGTCTTTAAATAGATTGTATTGAAGTATTTTAATTTTATGCAATTAACCGTTTGAGATTTATTAAATGATCTTTTGGTGAATTCATTGATTACTTCTTTATTAGCCATACTCATTGGACTACTTGTAGTCTACAGTCCAAGTAGCCAAATGTTATCCTTCCTGACCCTTTAAGTATGAAAGTTACAAGTTCCAATCTCGGGAGTGATACTGAACCCAAAGACCGTTTGTTATTGTGCTATCAATTAATGATGTTGTAACACAGAGAAGTAAGGTACAGAGGAATCTCACTTATGGGACGACTGAGCACTTTGAGCTGTGGTATGTTGGGGCGGAAATATATTTGTCACGAGCAAGGAAGAGCCCTAATGGCGAGTGCTGTGTAGAGACATTGACTATACTGTATAGTGTTATATAGTCAATGGTAGAGATTCCTATCGCACAGGGTCTTCCTACACCATGAGGGTTGTAGTACATGAGATGGTACACAAGTGTACCATTGAATTTTTCATCTGTACCTTACTTCTCTGTGATAGTAATAAGACCATGGATTGAGCTGTTCACTTAAAATCGTTTAGAAGCCAATGGTGTAGAAAAACACTCCTTTGGAAAGTAACACCCATATAAGATGTAATTTGCACTATAGTGTGTATACTGTGTGTACTAAAAGGTTAACTTCCACCTTTTGAGGTGCATAGTGGTTATATTTGTCAACACATCAATCAATTAATCAATTATTTGAGATCCCCAGGTGACCTGGATGCGTTAACACCAACTATGAATGAAGAATGAGAGTAGAAGGTTCCATCAATATGTCAACCTTTTAAAACAGTAGTGCTATTTCCACACACAATTCAAACAAAACCCCATTGTATGGTTGCAATTGCAATGTGTAGGTTACATTGTATGCTTTCATTCTGACGTTTGGAAAAATGTTCAATGTTTGATCTATATAATGAGAATAATAGTTTTTTTTTCAGAAAAATCTACCCCTTAATCCCTAGCAATTAATAAAGTTTGAATCCTCTATTACCTAGGATCTTCTGGACAAGTAGAGAACTCATGCTCAACGTCCTCTATCTCCTTCTCCTCCTCCACCACTACTTCCTCTTCAGCCTCCACAGGGAAGCAGATATATCCGTCCTTCTCTACTCCATCTTTCCGCTGGAACTGTACAGTTTCTCCACTTCCATTCTCCTCCTCTCCATCTACTCTGTTTGTACTACTCTCCATAATTTAGGCACAGCGATATTTGATTATAAATACTAATTTTCCTCATGGACGGTTGTCATGGATTTGTTGCTCAAAGTTAAGATAGCAGATACAGTTTTGTTGTAATTCTGAATATTCTTGTTTAAATAATATGTTTTACTTTAAATTCTCTTTTCGCACCTCATTATTGGAGAGCCCAGTGCCTCTGGACATACTCTTCGCAGAATGGTTCTCTGGGGAGTGCTCGGTATAGCAAGGTTCATCACAAAATTCAAAAAGGGCTTTGCGTATTTTGTTCCTGTTTTTTACAACAAACTCTCAAAAGCTTTCGTCTAATTCAATTTAAAAGAAAGCCAGAAGTTGTTTTGAACTGGGTTTAGTTATGATCGTAACATTGCTTAGAGGTTTTAATTGTGTATTTTTAAATGGTGATCTTTGACAGAAGAAGAGTTTTGAAAAACTTGAAAATTGAGAATAACTTGAGACTTTAGGCAGTTTTGTTGATTTATAACCATAATTTTAAACAATTTCTCGTCTAATCTATCTTATGTGATCAAACTCTGGTAACAAAGTTTGGACGCTCGCTGTGAGATTAGCCCTATTTGTAAGAAGTAAACAACCCACAAATAAAGAAATTTAAATGTGAGTTTCTATCAAGTGGATGCAATTTTAGCTGTTTTAGTTTTAGAGTTAGTTGAAGAGGTGTGATCAGGAGGAAACGGAGATCCCAAGCTGAAAATGGGTTGAAACGCAAAAAGGTTTTTTTGTAATACCTATGTGCTGAGGAGTTTAACATAAATGTGTACTTCACACAAAAGCCCCCAATGGTTATTTCTTGGTTACACTACCACAACAGAGGTTTGTATAATCTTGTCATGTAAATACAAGTGTCATGTAAATCTAAGTGGATGCAATTTTAGCTGTTTTAGTCTCAGAGTTAGTTGAAGAGGTGTGATCAGAAGGAAACAGAGATCTCAAGCTGAAAATGGGTTGAAACGCAAAAAGGTTTTTTTGTAATATGTGCTGTGGAGTTAACATAAATGTGCACTTTACACAAAACGCCCCCAATGATTATTTCTTGGTTACATTACCACAACAGAGGTTTGTCTAATCTTGTCATAATGTCTGTGAAAACATATCTATGTTCGTCTCATTTGTAAAAAGGTTTACCTAGATAGATGTAGGACAAAAATAAATACTCAATTATATTTACCAGTTTATAATTAATTGTCATAAGGTTTTAAATCTTAACACACATTCGGTTCGGATATAAAATTCACAGCTTTACCAATACTAAAACCAATTTTTGAAAACCTTCATTTTGTTATTTTATGTGTTTTTATTCCTCAAAATCCAGCTACAAGTTATCAATTCAAGCAAAACTTTTATTAAAATATTCTTGCTTGTAGTTTAATTGTTCCCTTCAGATTTTTATTTAAGAGTCTAATTAATTTGGCACATGTAGAAGGGGATTTTATCATATTCTATTCTATCCTCTACTGTATCTTGACTTCTCATTTTTTTCTTACAACTATAAAATAAATATACTTATCTACAATTCATTATCCAATGTATATTTTCCTTCCTCATAATTGAATTGAATATCAGAAAATGTCATTATTGTTTTTGGAAACGTCAAAACTCACAAAAGTTTTAGTCGATATTTTAAAACTTTTATTGGTTTTTGTAAAATTACTATGGACAATGTTTACTCTTTATCTTAAAGTAAAATTTTCACCACACTCTCCAATTTCAGGCACCTCTCAAAATAATCTTTAATAAATATTACTTTGTCACTGGTTACTTAATTTCAGTTGTCACTTTGTTTGTTACTCTAACACACATTTAGAAGCAGAATTTGAATGGCTGTTGCTGCGGAGGTTTATCCTTGGTTGAGGTAAGGCTCGACTTGTTTGAGGCAGTTTTGGAACTTGTCCTGGTATTGGGCATCGAGGGGGCTGCGGCATCCGTACCCTCCCTGTCTGTGAATGGCTGCGTAGTCGTAACAATTGACAACTCCGTCTCCATTGCAATCCTGAAATATTTAGATCAATTGTATAAATGATTGAAGGGATAAGGTGTTGCTACATAGTGGAAGGAAAATACATAGGTGTGCTATTCCCGTCATATGCTGACGTCACCCAGATTGCAACAAAAGATCAGCTGATTGTATTGAACAACTGAACTGGAGCCGTTGTCACTATTCAATAAAACTTCCAAAAATTTCAGAGAGGATTTATCGATTTAACTGCTAATTTTTAAGGAGAAAATTTTGTTCAACAGTAACCAGGGGACAAAATCAGGGAAGAGAAGGAAGTGCAAACAGAATCAATTCCAAGGTACTATCTTGTAGCCAGAAAGACTATAACGAAGACTGGTGCAGGTGTTTGAAGTAGGTAGTAATATGTTAAAACAATTCAGTAGAACTGTGAGACCAAAATAGTGGTATACTGTTGGCACTTCACTCAGTCTGCACAAAATATAATACATAAGAAAAAAAATTGCTTAACAATTAATTGTTTCACTGACCTGAGCAAACTTGTTCATGTATCCAGTGACAGTTTTACCAGCACAAGGGGGGTCATTGACACATCTTGTGTAAGCTGAAACAGACAAAACATTAAGCAAACAAGATCACTATAGGAAATTTGTGATGAATTAAGCAATAATAAACATCTCCATTTTTACCTCTTTTACATGTTTTGATACTAAGTAAAAGGAGTAAGATAACCAAAGTATGATATGTCCAGACAGATTACCAAAGGCCTTATGATTAGTGATTACTTATACTGTCCATCCATAAAGTTGGGTTTTTCAAAGGCTGCTGTTGACCACACCTTTCATACATTTTGGTTGTAGATGGAAAATGTAAAAGATTATCTTCTAGAAAATTTTGTATTGGTACCTACTCTTAAATTTTGCCTCACAATATAATCGGCTCTAATATGTACAACTGTCTATATATTTTTGTAATAATTTGAAAATTGTGTTAATTTGTTAATTCCCCCCCCCTCCATGGAAGGTGTGTGATCTGGTTTTGCTTAGCCTACCCCAGGGTACAAAAATACAACAGGATAAGTATACGATAAAATTTGAAAATAATATTCGCAAAAAGCCAGGGGATAAGTGTAGTTGTATTAAAATTCATTAGAATCTTCTACTGAAAATGTGCTCTGAAATTAACGTAATTTCTGTCTAAGGTGGGAAATCACGGTTTTACTAGAAATATGCCCTTAATCTAAATTTAAAATGAACTAAGGCAGGAACCATGGGAGGACACTCATTTTGTTAATAAGTAATTCCATCCCGGGACACATTTTACTTTTCATCCAGTTGACTCACCGTCGGCGGCGTTGACGTCCTCCTGGGGTGTGAGGAGAGGTTTGCCGGCGTCTGCCCAGTAGGCCCAAGTGATGCGGAAGATTCCACAGACGTCCCCGGTACACTGGAGGGAGCGGTTACAGTTGGACACAGCCTCACAGATACAACCCAGACAGATCTCAGTCACTGGCTCAACCTTCAGCTGGCCTGCAATCAGATCAGGAGAGGGTTAGATTGTTAAGATATTTATTTAGATCTAGAATATGTTTAGTCAGAAGTCTTATGCATTTGGGATTGACACTAATTATAAAAATCAGTTTCGGGAGTCACCCAATTTATAGCTGGGTAGCTGAGTGGTTATAGTTCTAGCAGCCTAGTAATCAAAAGGTCTCCAGTCTGATCCTGAGAAAAAAGTGTAGCTTTTTGATGGTTCGAAACTGGACCCAGCTGTCCTTGATCATGGCTTTTAATGGTCCTCCTAATTAATGAAACAGCTGGTCTTAGCCAGCAACAAAGCTACATAACACAAGGCATTACACTCACACTCCATTCAACTCTCTTCCTTCACTGGAACTCTAAATGTTAGGCAATGTCCCTCAAAACCTATGGTAAGAGTGTGTAATTACTACGGTATTGACATGTATATTATACATCAGATCTACACTGGGACTATGAACGAAAACACCACCAATAACATCCCAAAAATTATATACAATAATCTACAATTAATCATCTGACCAAGGAAATTTAATCCTTTCTTTCGTTATATTTTGTGTCTATAAAGTTAGAAATCATGAACCTTCAATGAATACAAATTTTAATAACACATTCTAAAATTACATTCATTATAATGATTTTATCACGTATTTCCACAGTCTATATTGAGTAGTTTCGGAGAAATTATGACTCATATTTAGAATCAATTATCCATAATGGCTGCACAACCGAAGGACTCCGCGGGGGCCGAGGGCCGACATGGGCGGCGACCTTGGCTCCAGAAGATGTCCGATGTCCTGGAGGTCAACCGGAGTCTTTGACCTCGCGACACCCATCCTACTTAGGTACGAAACTATCTGGGAGTCACAACAAAGTGATACAGGGATCGTCTTAGGTTAGGCAGTTATTCATTGTTGACGGCATTGCCGCTACGCTACATGAATTGGTAAGGTAAACGTTTCAATTTCAGAAGTGTGGTAAAGACGTACGAAAATCTTATAATTGTCAAAACAACCCAATAACAGGAAAGGGAAATCCGTCATCTAGAGGGCCTATTTTTCTAGTAGTTGTTTATTCGTTGTTCACGGCATAGATCCCAAGAAATTTAACTACCTCAGTAATTCGGCGAAAAGACATTTTTTTGTTAGTCAGAATCCACCTCCAATCAATTTTCTTTTAAGTCCAACAATCGTAGGATAACTGAACTATAAAAAGAAACTGTACGTCATTGGAGGACCATTATGCTGGAAGTTTTTCATTGTTGTCGTCATATTAATTTCACAATCTCAGTGTTCCAGTGTTGATGAAAAAAATACATTTTTAAACCAAATCTCGTTGTTAAACATTTTTCCTCACTCTGGTGTTGAAAGGTCCAATACCGTATCCTAAAAAGCTGAACGATAACGGAAATTAAATATCTGTCATCTAGAATTCCTATTTTGCAGAGGAAAGGTTATGGCAATCTAAACACCTTAATTATTACTAATGATTCAGCTAATGGCCGTGGACCAATGAGTGAATGACCACTGATCGAGCGACTGACTATAGAAGGCCCTGAAGGTAGTGTCTCCTATAGCTGACTGGTTTCGTCATTTCCTTTGTTTTCCACTTCCATTTTCATTTTCGCTACGAAGTTATTCATAATTAATCATGAATGTCGAATGATACCTAGCAAGTACCTAGTATGATTGTTAATACGGTATTCGAAATGCAGGCTAATCCAACGTCTTCAATGAGATCAGACATTGTGAAAATAGTGTTTCGATGGACAACTAAACTAATTTAACGTTCAAAATGTATGTAATTGCATTATATTAAATTGTTTTCTTAAACACGCAAAGAAATATTATGAATGGATGTTGCAATACCATGTAATTGAGCTCTACTGCCATATGTGATTGAATGTCTTTGTTAATGGAAATTTTTTAAGATCAGTTTGGTATCAAATCTATTGATTCAGATTAGTTTCAATTTAACACATTCTCGACAATGAGTAACACCTTTATATGGCTCGTTTATTTAATTTACATAATTTTTAATTGGATACTTGTTCACGTCATTAGTACATCCTGCTCGTTGATCGCTGCATTTACTTGTGTTGTTTAGATTCACAAAAGTGTAAGGCTCGGCAATAACAGTGCACAATATCAAATGTTTTGGAATGGGTAACTGGTGCAAGTAGACTTCTCGTCCTGTTTTAAAATTTGAAGGGTATGCTTTTATATGTTTTCATGTTGGTATGTTGAGGATTTGTCATAGTGGTTACAAGGGTGGCTACAACATGTAGGTGAATAAAAATAAACATCTTACGAGGTCTAGGCAGATCCATGCATCCTTACGAATGCCATTATAACGAATTGTGGACATTTATAGGCATGCACTGTGGATGCGATACTCCCTGGTGTGGATTGATGTCCGGACTAGTAGTGAGTACTACGACAATCCGCAGGAGGCCTACTATCCTGATAAGTAGACCAATTTGTTAATTACAAGGAAAAAATGTCGTTCGGATTCCACCATGAATTGTAGGTCCCTTTTCGTTGCCATTGGCTGCATAGGTATAACTAGGTATAACTGCATAGGTATAACAGCTGTGTCTAAGCATAGACTAAGGAGAATTACTTATATTTCCTTAGTCCATGGTCTAAGGAACATGTCGGCCTTAGGCACTGACAAGACAACAAGATCGCGCCACTCATCCTACACTCATTTCCATTCAAACTTGGCTTAAAATAGCTACACATTCGTATGGTCGCGATTTCATAATAAAGTATTAAAAGTAGCCTACCTGCCGTCAGAGAATGCACTAAGATGAGAATATGCAGTTTTTAAAGGTAGGGTATCTAAATTGATGCAAGTACAGTATATTGCATTTTACTGCGTCATTTTTTTACTATAGTTTGTGTTATATTCTCGTTTACGTGAATCATCTTGGCGGCTTGCTAAATACCGTAATCCATAAGGTTGGCCTACAGAACAAAAATTTGCCAAACCACCGCCCACCTCCAAGGCCCGGTGATTGTTATGGGTCCATCCAACACTCTGACACCCAGATCCATCATAACGGGCGAACCAAGGCCGGTCCCGCCCCGTCGTGATGTTAGAACTTAATTAAGGAAGTCTTTGTCGAAATTACGTGTACTATTATGTTTCTGTTTACTTATTGGCTAGTCAGTCAGCGATACATGACGGGTTTCGTCAATTTCTCAGGAATATGTCGATCTTGCCAATATGTGCCCTTAGGTGTCGACCTTGCTTTAAAGAAACATTCATCGCCTCCTCGTCGTATGCTTGTCACAAGAAAGGGAGTCTTTGTCGAAGGTACGTAGTAGTTTCTGTATACTTATTGGTTCGTTAGTCAACGATACATGACGGCATCGATCATTTATTTATTTATTTACGGTTACACCATTTTTAATACCATCGTATCAATGCACAATCAATGTATCATCGTATCAATGTACCACCTTCATAAAGATATCTTGAAGATGTCACAACAACTTACATGTTTATGCATAGTGACATGTCGTCCTTGTTGCGATTTTTGAACTTTTAAGAAAGTTTTTGACGTAATTATGTACAGTACTGCTATGTTTATGTTTACTTTTAGCCATCCAACCATACATTACGGTGCTGCATTGATGTACCTCCTTCTGCCTGTTAAAGATCTGTCCAACTTGCCATTACATTTACTTATTCATAGATATTTCGTCCTCAGCACTATATGTTTGAGCTTAAGTCGCTATGCTTTAACTTAAGGCTGTGTCACACTAGGCTACTTTACTATCCGCTACGGTAGCGAAATAGCGGCTACTCATAGCCAATCTGACATAGGCAGTAGCGGCTGGTAGGAGTAACGCGCTAGTCTCATTTCACTAGCGTCGAGAATTGAACATGTCCAATTTTCCGAGCTACTAACTAGCGGCTAGTGAGTCACGTGATTGACTAGCGGCTACCGAGTAGCCGGTGTGACATGTGTACTAGCGTAGTAGCGGCTAGTGGCTGTGCATGTTTGGGTTTGGTTTGTTGTGGAAAAGTTGGTTTCAATTAAAATTTGTGAAAAATGAGTGAAGTGAAGTGGTCCGGTGGGGACATAATTAACTTTTTAAACATTTATCGGAAATATCAATGCCTTTGGGATATTAAGTGCCCTGATTATTTAAAGCGGGAAGTAAAAAGACAGGCATTTGCACAACTGATGCAGGAATTAGACTATTCCGGTTTGCGGTGCAAGAAGATGGGCTCAAAAAGAAACAAACATCACTAACGCACATCAAAATTAAACGCCGTAATTCAACCCGGCTTATACCAACAGACGACATTTTCACAGCATTGACACTGACTGGCTGAATCGCTGCTACTAGGTAGCCGCTACCGACATTTGTTGTGTGACAGCTTTTACTAGCGGCTACTTCACTAGCCGCTACTAAATAGCAGCTAGTAAGTAGCCTAGTGTGACACAGCCTTTAAGGAAGTCTTTCTACAAAGAAGTCTTTGTAGAAATTATGTAGTAGCATGTTTCTGGTTTCTTATTGGCTCGTTAGTCAACGATAAATGACGGTATTAATAGACTACCTTCCTCAACAAATCTGTAAAATGATATTGTAAATGTATTGCCAAGGCGAATGATCTTCGTTTCATGCATTCGAGCCCCGTCCAAGTCAAAGATTGAACCATAGATAAAACATGCTTCCTTCGTGTTAATCGTGTTAGTTGAAAAACATACATTTCTTGTGTTGGTTAGTCTATGATTGAACTTATTTCGGAAACGGAAAGTCTTAATATAAATACGTGGTGTTGTAGTTTGTTTCTGATAACTCATTGGTTATCTAACGTACGATAGATAAACTATGGAGCTTGGATTAACTCACCACTCTCCTCTAGTTACTGTACCTTTAAAGGCGTCAAACTTACTTAGTTTTACAACCTAACGCCAAATTAGACATGAGGTTTACGAAGAAGGAACATGTGTTCAATACATGCTTAGCCTTTTTATCTGATTCGAAACAAACATATGCTCGAAGCAATGACAGGGAATGGCAGGTAGTATGGTGTACAATGCTATGTGAAAGTTCATTCAGGCCTGTAGAAAATGAGACTTGATTCTGTTTTTTTGCAGCAACTTGTCGCTGATACGAAATGTATTCTGCAAGTCCTGCCGGATGTCGCGGTCCAAGGGTGTTTAAGTAGTCCATTGTTCGACATTAACGAGTGTTGGATGAGTGTAAAGTCATCAGCTGATTTTCTAACTGACCTTCACTTGCAAGGTTGCACGGATGTGCGATATTGCCAATTGTCAATGGGAAGCTGGAAACTCCATCAAGAATGTAGTCTCTTGGAGGTATTTCACATTGACTTTAGATGCTGATGCAGTTGCAGACATATTATATTGAACATCTGTAGTTTTGTACTCACAGAGAACATGCTTGGACAAGCTTCTCGTGGAGGGTAGCCTATCACTTTTGACTATATTTAAATATTGATATAACTTAAGTATACAAAAGACTATGGTATCATCCACTAGTGAACAGTTCCTCATTTACTTTTTCATTCCATGACGGTTGATGAAGAAGATACCATTGTTGACAAACACCTTCTATTTCAGTTTGACATAGAAAACATGTTTGTATATAAAAATTTAAAAATTACAGCTGCACCTTCGGTCTTGGGCACAATTTAAGTAAATCGTGTTTTCATTTTGCCTTTAACAACATGGGAATGGAATATCACCTGCACAGTTGTAGTCTATTTAGGGAAGGATTTTAGTTAGTGTTTTCTAATGTACTGTTTGAGCCTCTCACCCTTTAATCGTGCTTAATTATTTGTTACATTAAACAATCATAATTCTGATTCTACAGTTTGTAGCTTATTCCACCCCCTCTTTTAAACTGTTTTTTATATGCGTTAACAAATCTGTAGAAGGCATATTGTTTGTAATTTTTCATGGCGCACTCCCATAGGGATTTGCTGCTTGTGTAACCAAATTCGTGTACCTATTAAAATTACTCCCTAAACCACGTATCCTTCAACATGCGTTCTTTCTATTTCGAATTATTTTACGAGTGAGAAGAGCATACCGTAATGTTTTAAATCCAGCTTGCTTGCAATACAAGCTTGAATTTAAAGCGAATTACAACTCACATTTAAAACCATTATAAAGAAAGTTGGTAAGCATTACTGCAACAATAGATTAAAGGATGCTACAACATTACCTTTCTAGATACCATATCCGCCCCTCCCCTAGACCAAGCTTTGAAATTATACCTAAATCGTAAAAATTTGTTTAATAGGGCGTGTGGAAAAGAGATGTTACAGAGTGGTGTATTGAGTATAGAGATATAAAAAAACAAACTATTTAATTGGCTACTGCGACAGCTTTAAAACGTCAGCTAAACTATGTTAAAACCAGCTATTTCTCTGAATCACAGAGAAATATTAAGGAAAAGGTAACGTGTTTAGCAAATTCAAAATTTATTTTATGTCATGTAAAATTTAATTTGATACCGTACAACTATGTAGGTGTTTGTGGTGTTAAACAGAACGCATGATAACCGATAATCGAGCTACATAAAAAAATTTAAAGTTTTCTTAGTTTAGTTAATTCGGCAACAATATTTGTTTTCAAATATACTACTAACTTTATAGGTGACTGGTTCTTGTTCACGTGTGAATTGTGACCTAAACTACGTCGGAAAAAAGTATTAGGTATTTCATAACTCCCACAATATTGTCCTACAAAAAAAACATTGGACCTCAAATAAAATTAATCAGTCTAATTTCCTACTCAATAAATTCTGAATACAACATGAATATAGATAACACCTCTGTAAAATATTTCGATAATTTAACTAGGGTTGCTTTCAGAGAGGTGAAAGCCAGTTGAGCGGAACAAACGTGATTTGATATTTGTATAAGTAACTAAATGTAAAAAAGTCAATAGATATACTAATGCTTGTTTTATTGATAAAAATTATAATAATTCAAATTTGTTTTAACTACATCTTGTTATTCAGATACCTCTTCCAGAAGTGCATTATGGTAGTTTTGACCAGAAAAATATTACAGTATTTGGAATCTAATATTAACATCCAAAAAGGGCATTCAAGTATAAAAAAGAGAAAGGAAATTTAACATTCAAATTCAACTGTAGCCTACAACAAAAAAAATGGACTTAATTTTTCACCCTTACAATCGGTTAAAGTATTTAAGTGTAAAAAAAAAAACAGTAACTATTTAAAAAACGAGTATTAAAGTATAGGGCCTAACATCAGGAGGGGAAATTTGGCATTTAAATTCAACTGTGCAACATAAACATTGGTCTTCATTTCAACCATTGCAATCGGTTAAACTCAGCTTTCTTTGCTGGAAATAGTTTATGATTGTTAATACCAAGTATTCTTGATGGAGGATATGATTGTAATGTAACTGGAATGTAGGTCTTCTACCATTATTGGGACGATTTAGAGACGGCATTTTAATACTGGCCTTAATAAAACCATTGGACAGCCCTAGACACATCCATACCGTGGTTAAAAGTTTACTTCTATAAGCCCAGGTAATTAATTATTTACTTATTATTACGGCTGTAACTGGACGTATGTATAGTCCGTGGCCTGGCAATCAAATAACAGTATTTATATAGGATAGACTACTGTTATCAACATTTGAAATTACTGAATTGTTACCAAATTACTGTTTCACAAAATGCAGATTCCATTTTCAGCCGAGCCATTAAAATGAGGATTTGCCAAACAATTATTAATTGGCTATTACAGAATAGTATTTAATGATATACAACTTTTCACATTAATTTCATAAATTATATATTAGTGCAAAACTAATATGGTCAAAGGTCCAAATCTAAATGTTCTTTTCTTTTGGTCTGTATGTAGTAATTTGCTATTATCATTGACTTTATATAGGCCTGGAGTCAATGCTAGAATACTGTAGATGATTTGTTAAAACTATTCCAAAAAATAAAAAATAATATGGTGCAACACAAATAAATAAACCGATCACCTACCTATAACCTACACTTTACCTTCCTAGTCTAACCTTACTTCAAAACACAATGTAGTCACGAATATTCATAAACCTCGACCTACCTTCACCACATGCCTAAATTAGATCAGTGTTCAATCTGCGTTTTATTAATAAGTGTAATAACTTACTGTATCGTCGATGTAATTCAACATAATATAACCTGTGAGGTATTATCGGATTAAATATAGATTTCGATGCGGTTCGATATATCGCTTATTAAATCGTTATTTCTAACATTGACTGTTTCTAATCAGCTGGCAACACAAATAGGTGCCCAAGAGTAAGTAAGTAGTCACTGCGACATGCTCCGCGCATTGAGAAAGTAGTTCCGTTTATTTTCGCAATTTGTAGTGAATTCCGCGCCTTAAAAAATGTTTTAACGGTATTTTCATGTTTATTAAGATCATAGGAATGATTTAAAAACGTTAAAAAGAAAAGTCTAGAAAGTTCAGAAATACCTTATGATTCTCTTGTTTACATTTTTCTTGTAAACAAAAAACTGTCATATGGCTACTTTACTCCCATAAGCCTAATGTTAAAAATTGGAAATTTTAAGTTCGTTTTAAATTGCATTAGCATTATCTAATTGAAATTTGTTTGTTTAAAAACCATCTCACTATTAGTCTAAGTAATTTTGTTAAGTTTGGCTGAAATGCGTTCAGCCGTTATTGAGTGATGTTTCTCTATTTGTTGCATTGAAGTTGATCCCAAAGAGCTTCGCTCGCTTCGCTCGCTTCGCTCGCTCCGCTCAAAAATGTTACACAGAGTTGAAAACTATGGAGTATCATTGTTTACCTACCTTGTACAGTAAATATCCCCAGGGCTACCACCAGGAGCGCGGACGTTACTTTCCACAACGCCATCTTGCGGACGACTGAAGACTGAAGAGTGAAGAGTGGCTGACAACGCGGTGTCCGGGTCCGGGGGTTATACCATCGATGACGTCACTCACCTCACTACCGGTGGCCAACCTTATAAAATATATACCGTGTGCGGATATAAGAGTAACCAAAGTGTTAAAGCATTCATTTTCGGATACTGAATAGACTGTATGGGCCAGTTTGGAGAGTGCGCTGGGGGGATCACGTTGGTCAAGAGTGCGGTACTTATGGCCCCGATGTCCGAGGTTCAAATCCGGCCAATCACCAAAGGATTTTATCTATGCTGCGATCTTTTAGTAGCCTGAAGTAATGTGTTAAAATGGTTCCGGATTAGAGCGTACGTTCTTGGGTGTGTAGGTGGAACAAAAAAATCTGAAAAAAATAATAAACAATTGGACAAGCTTGACATAGGAGTGGAATGTTCAAAGTCAAACGACTAAACCCCTAATTGGTAGACTATATCCGATTTATATAGATAGGCCTTTTAGCAAGATTTTTTAGGTTTCCCAACCAAATTTTGGGATATATTTTATACATAACAGGAATGCGATGTTTCCAGATTCAGAATGAGCAATTCCATTTTACAGGGAATTTATTAGTTTCAATAAAATAAAAACATACATATTTTACAAATCTAGACCTAAAGGGTGCAATACTTTGTACTGTTATTAGATATAGTATTCAAACATTTGATTTAAATAATCTATGGTTTATATTTTGTTTTGTATTTTTCCAGTTGCTATAAAAATATGAACTTTTATAATTTTGACACATTATGATTTTTGAATGAATTGTTATGTTGAGATTACAGAATAATTGTTTGGTATCATTTTACTATGATTGAGTGTACTTTTCTTTTGAGAGTAATTAAATTATTTTCTGCTCAGTATCGAGTCCTTTTCTCTCCATTTTTTACTTTTAACACCTGTACTATACTTTGATTGCAGGATAGGGCTATCCCAGATCACGATCTTTTACCAACAAAAGTTGAAGACGTTTGTTTCAAACCTTTGTTGTATGTAGTACACAAACCATTTTCTTTGTTGGTCAGCGCCCTGACAGGGCACAACTTCTTTCTCAGTGCTGCAATTTAATACACTAAGTTTATTTTTGTTGTGTAATTTCAATTGCTTAAGTTAAATAAGATCGATTACATCGAAAATGCTGGGATGTAGTTGACATATGGAATTTTGTTTCAATTGTATTTAAAATCATTCATCATAGTTAAAGACTAGAAAATTTAAAACATCACAGCGTACATATTTTCTTACAAAATGTTTTTCATGGGTAAAACCAAAAAGTGCGCTTATCACATCATTTTCAAGCGAAACTTAAACACAAATACAACAATCGACGTAGAAAACAGTGTTAAATATAAGATTCTCAAGAATCCACATACTTGCTCTATTAATCTAGTTTAAAGAGCAAAAAGAAATGCGGGTCACAGATAAACTGTAAACGAGATTAAACGCCAATTATGTCTATATTTACAACAAATCTGAATACACATTTATGGTTCCAATTCAGCTCCATCCACGGATAGAACAGGAACGGAATGGATCATAAAAATAAACAAATTACACAACTAGCCCATATCTTATAACCCTAACACGAATTGGAACGTTTTTTAACATCCATCATAATAATATAAACATGTTTGCTTTCGGACCAGTGACGTAATTTGTTTATGTTTATGAAACATACAGTTTTTGTTCTAAAATCCATGATTCCATCAAACATAAAATACAACTCGAAATAGTATTATTTCATCACCTGGAGTAAGTGACTCTTTTCGACCCGAGCTTCGGAAAATGAGCGAGGTTCACACTTTTTACCCGTACGATGAACTTTATTTTTCGTCGTATTGCACTATTATTTGAACAAACTATGTTACAAAACTAAAATAGTTTTCATTTAAAGATAACCTCTCAAAACTACTTCTAACTTGTTTCAAATTTAATTTGCTAATGGAAACAGCTGTTTGGTAAGTGATTTAATCGTTTCTTTTATTACGACTGTGTTATTTCTTATACGTTATATTATCGATAAATTACGTCAACCTCTTTACAATAAGGCAACAATAAGCTACAACCGATACATACTCTCGATACATGCGATTTTTTATAATCGAAATTTACAACTGAGTTGACAACAGCTGATTTTTTAAAACGCAGAGAGTAAAAATGCTACTTTAGACCCACATGCATGAATAAAAACGGCTGTTTTTCCTGCGGTATGACGAAAACCCCATTTTTTATCAATCCACTTCCCAGAGAGATTTTGGGATAGCATCATCAATATATCAAATTCTTGGACATGAAATAATCCCGAAAAAAAACTTGGAAACACCAATTTTTATATGGTTTTTAGAGTTGTGTTTAAGTGTCGAAATTAAACGAGATGGGGACGCCAACTAGGTTCATATTTTAACCAAAAAAATATGAGTGAAGGATGAGTGTAGAATGGTGTGAACTGTGTAGCTTTGTTATTGACAGAGATCAGCTGTTTCATCAGCCAGGATCATTTTATTAAGATCCCAATGATCAGGATCAGCTGGTTCCAGTTTTGAGTCACCAAAAAGCTACTTTTTTTTTTATCAGGATCAGTAAAATGGTAAGCTTTTCTTGGTGACATGTAGCTGGAACGAAATAATTTATCGCTTGGAAGTATGTAACATTTCAATAGAAAAATTAATCAGGACAATCCTTTCGTACAGGACAAACCTAACCTTATCTGGCAGTTATAGTACGACCAATTTAGTCCATAATAAGTTACTTAATAGACCTAGAGCATCATCCAGGATGTAATAAAACACATTCTAAACATAAAAACATGTTGAAGAAAAATTAAAACCACAAACGCTGTATTTGTATTAGGCTCTACATTCTTCCCACTATTATTGTATTGTTCGTGTCCTCGTCATATATTTTATCCTTTTCCTCTGGTCTGCAGTATAGGTAAGGTTCAAAGTGTCTGGTCCAGGTTCAAGGCAAACGCCAAGGACGTTTTCCTTTGTAGAAGATGCGTTCATAAACTTGATAAAGCAAACAGATAAAATCTCAGTTTATGCAGGCAAACCAGCTGAATAGACTAGAGATGGTATAATCAAGTAGGCTCGTGCTAGCAAAAGAAACTACATTATCGGAAAGCAGACTTTTATATCGACTACAACTAGAGTTTGTGGTGGAATTTTTTGACTGTTTATTTTACCCGTGATTGTAGAATCTCAATTTTGTCAATATTTAAAAACATAACCTTTGCTTTATTTCATTCAGCTATTTTTTGCCAAGTTATTTAACAATCTTTCCTAGGTAAGTGCTACTTTTTATACATCTTTGAATAAACTAAACAAGTGGTTATTTACTTTTTTTTATGCATTAGGCAAAATTGTTCTTCTTTTTATTTTTGGTCCTTCTCTGTACATTGTTTCAATGAGTTGCACTTGGATAATAATATATTTTGCTTCATCCATATGCCTTATAGGGTGTCATGACCCCCAAAACAAAAATAATTAGGTGCCTTGTGGTTTATTAATTTTTCATATTTTGTTATTGTATTATTGTCGTTCGTTGTTAGTGTTGTCTATTGTTTTAACTGTTTGTTGAACGAGAAGAGATATTTTAGAATTGAAATCAAATAATACATAATAGTTCAGTTCAAAGATCACTTGATGTGTAAAACTGGACGTGAGCAATTTACATTGCAGAGTTAGTCTACGGAATAACTATTAGCGACTTTGCACAGCAGCCAGCAACAATAGCAGGCGTACCATCCTGTCAACTGAGCAGTGAATAGATTTGGGAACGGATGGCTGCACGAGCTAGTAGTATACATTAGATACAGGAAACACAAACTGTGACTCTTTTACAGGCTATATCGTGGATAAAATTAGAACGCATTTAAATTTAACGCAGGTAGTTAAAATCTACGAAATGTGATGTAACGTTCCACTTTTATAAAAGGCCAAGTGGTAGGACTTGACTTATTTATTTTGACATATTTGTACCCATTAATAAATAGGCTATGTTAGGATTAGACAAAGTTTGATTGATTGTAATAAAAGAAGGCCCAATTTCACATTTTCATTCTTTAATATAACTTAATATCCTTTTATTAAATTATTGGTGTAATAAAGAGTTTTTAAACGTTTATTTAGTCCATAATAGTTGTAACTAAGAATAGGTCCACCCACATTCCGTATCTAGGTTAGGTTATCAATTGTACGTATTTCAGCAACACAATAAAAATGATAAAATTCCATTAAAATTTCATTTCACAAACAAAAGGATAAACATGTAAATATAACACAACAGTCATCACCTAAACCACAACAACAGTAACGTAAATCTGACAAAATATGATCAGCTGTATAGTTTAATTGTTGTAAATATTTTAGTTGAAATTTCAGGAAAAGTGTGCTACATACATTTACTGACTTGGTTGAAATGAAGTATTTAAGATAGGCAGATAGGATACAATTTACAAGAAATGTTGATTATGTTATATCGAACTTTTATGTAAATCGTGAGTATTTTGCATAATCTTTGAGTCGACTCTTTTAAAGTTATCGGAAATTATGACTGTTGTTCGTTTTAAAATAACGCCTTTACCAGTAATATTTCACAACTACTCGAATTCGAGCAACAGGTACACTAGTGCTATTTAAATTGGGAATAAATATGCCTTATTTATGGAAATATTTGACTAAAAATGTAATCAGACAAGTTGAAATTAGCTTAGTCTGCAGGTTTGCTGCGGTGAGTGCGGTGGAGGTATTTTAATATAGAGTGTTCTTATCATTTCATCTCAGAGATCCTTGGCAACAGCCATTGAAGGTATCAAGTAATAAGATTTATGATGGAGTATATATAAACTATTTATACTCGTGTTAAAACATAGTAAAAACTAACAAAGGCGTTCAGATTATAGTCGATTGAAAAGATATCGCGTTAGATAACGATAGATTTTCTATCAAAATTGATCAAAGAGTATAACAGAAATTTTGAAAAGTAGTAAAAAATCAAGTCTTTGTCGTAAA